GGATTAATCACAAGAACCAACCACGCAAATCCAAATGGGTATTTAGAAACCAGTGAAGCCTCTGAGATGTTCTGTGGGGGAACACCATATATTTTCTAATTCATGAGTATGTGCAAAAGGGTACGTCATTTATAACGGACGTGTTGACAGAACTTTAGCTTTGGTGTTGCAAATGTGCCCCATAATATATTTACATGTGAGTAACGTTTCACACATATGGACACATGTGTACCCAACATATTTTTTTAGTTGGCGTTATACCCAATAATTTAGGTAAATGGTGGCAATAAGGAGTAATAAGCTGCAGTTTTGCTAATCTTACCATAGTTCAGCTTTGGGAACCGCATTACTATTAAATTGGCCAATGAAAATCTGGCAATATTAATGCTATCAAGCATGAAAACTAGCTGGATTTGGATCAAGGACCTTTATTTATAGCATTTTACGGAGGACTGATTAGTTTAAAGGCAGAGCTGTGTGTCTCATGGGTTTTTAAATATTAAGTAAATTCAGAAGTCATGTGTTCCCTTCCAACAGCAACAATAAAAAAAAATACAGATAATTTCACATTAATTTCAATTTCCTGATATTACCCAAAGATGCTTGATGAAGTAATAGCAAGCCCTGTAAAGTTTTTAGCCATACTGTATAAACAGTTGGTTACAGATGTGAAAAAGCCTTAATAATACAGCTCACAATTAATTAGAAGAGAAGTAAAAGATGACGACTTTATACTTACATGAAAAAAAGCATCGAGGCTTTACATATTGAATAAGCAAACATGTGTACATTTTATTTGTTCTTTGTTACTCTCATGTTATTTTTTTATGCTCATACTACTTTCCGTCTTTCTCTCACTTCCTTCTCATTTCTTTGGTAAAATTGTCACTCTGGCCTGTGTTTGTCCCTCAATAGTACCTGTACGTTTAGGATCAGATGGGTTTGCTGTGAGTCAAAATAGATACAAGGGGAACATCATCATGGTTCATTTTCCCTCCCTATTTTATTCGGAATTGAATTAGGAAATGAAAGGTTTTAGCCGTTTAATTCACTTCTCCATAAAGTTTATGGAGCAGCAACAGCTGGTTGAATCCATGGCAGAAAAATCCAACTTCGAGTGTCCAAGCTATTGTTTTAGAATTAAGTGGGGGAGGAGGAGGAGAGAAACTCATTAACTGTTAATGAAAACACAGGGAATAAAAACAAATAGCACAGAAACCCTAGCAAATAATTACCTCACACCTACCACACAGCTACTTTTATCTTTCTGCTCCAATCCCTGAGAAATCCCCAACTTATCACTCCGCAGAGCATGAATGAAATTGAGTTTGACTCTCAGGAAAGAACAATAGAGAAATGCCCCCCTTACAGGCCCCTCAGCACAATACTCAGTGGAGAACCTGACATTGAATGTACTAAGGAGTGTATCTAGCGCCCAATTCTTATGACACTTAGGATGAAGGAGCAAATGACCAGCTAATAGCGGGTGAACCCTTAATAAAGTTCCCCCAGACCCTGTTTAGAAACACAAAGAGCAGGAGGTGGAGGATGTGATGAATGGAGATGCTGTGTGGTAGGATATATATGTCCGTATGGAAATACATTGATTCTGAGTGAGTTGCAATGGGAAAGTGTGTCTCCAGTGGCCAGGGTTCTTGCTTGTGAGAAAGCCACGCTGAGCAGATGGAGTTCTGAGCCCTAATTGGAAAGCTGCTGGAGTGGAAATGTCTGTCACTATAGCTTGTGATCATTTACGTCTGATCCCACCGGACTTTCGTAGTGGCCACTGGAACCGCGACTCTCAGAGCTATAGATAAATCCACAGATCACTTGTGGTTATGTTTTTACAACAACAACAAAAAATGATGTTATAAATGTAAACAAATCCAAAATGGCCACAGCAATGGCTGGTTCTTCTGTAAAACTTTCCACCCACGCATTTTGAGTCGTCGTAATCACTTTAATGACATGGGAGTGTCTGTTTATATGGTGTTAAGGGCTTCATACAGTGTGTGCCCATGGGAGTTGGGCTACTCGATATAACACTGAAAACACTTACAGCAACATTTCCATCACTGGGAACTAATTATGCTTGGGTGTAAAAACATATTTTCAAATATTTCTCCCGCTGCAGCCATTCTTAATACTGGCCTCAGCTGTCTTTCTTGCGTTGGGTGCCTTTGTTGTTATCTGCTTTATGGAGGTATGGTCTCATCTTTGGCTGTTAAAAGCCTACGTTGGGAAACTATGCTCAGAAACCATAGGAATTATGCAGAAGCGACATTTCCACCTGAAGTTGGTAAATCAGATGCCAAACCCAGGCAGGTATTTTGGGTAAGACTTTAACGCTCTAGCCCTGACCGCATGGCTCAGGGATTAAGCATGTACCTATGAACCAAGAGGTCACAGTTCAATTCCTGACGGGCACGTGCCCAGGTTGTGGCAGCTCAATCCACAGTGTGGGGTGTGCAGGGGGTGGCCAATCAGTGGTTCTCTCTCATCGATGTTTCTATCTCTCTCCTTCTCTTCCTTCCTCTATGAAAGCATTAAAAAATATATTTTTTAAAAAAAAAATGGAAGCTCTAAATGCAATTGGAGTAGATCCTGAGACGGAAAAAGGACATTAATGGGAAAACTGGAGAAATCCAAATAAGGTCTGTATTAGTTAGCTGTACCAATGTTAAATTCTTGGCTTTGACAGATATACCCTAGTTACATACTTAGTTGACATCTGGGGAAACTGGATGAAGGGTATACCGGAATTCTCTTTACTATCTTTGAAATAAGTCTATATTATTCCAAAATAAAAAGTTCATTAAAAAACAACAAAGCAACACAAACCCCTACCTGATCTGCTTATCTAAGAAAAAAAGAAAAGTAAATAAAACCTGGGATGCTAAAATGTATAAGAGAGTAAATTTGTCAAATTTCTGAAGCAAGCAGAAAAGTGTGTCTAGAATGTTAGTTGATAAATAATGTTCGGTATATCCTACAAATGTTCAATGTTGCATGGCAACCCAAATGATTTATTTTTTTTTAAAGATTGAATTTGGTTTGGCTCAAAATTTTTAAATTGCTTTAACTTCACAGCTCACGTTCAGGTCACCTGCCAGGCAAACTGTTTAGGTCGTGTTGATAGAATAACTTCAGTGAATTCGCAGTGATGCAGAGTTTGCGTAGTTTAATTCCCTCTTTGAGGTTGAGAATTTTCCTGGTTATGGTGGACGTTTCATAGGGATACTTTAAGCATAAGCATAAGCTTTCTGTCCTGACCAGTGACCTAATAAAGGAGAGCATTTCTTGTGGCTTTCGCCAGCGACTGTTCTATGAAATGTTGTTTGCTTTTCTTTTTAATTTTACTTTCCTTCTCCACAATGAACTCCACAGTTTATTTCTGAAGAACTCTATCTGCAGGTGTTCTGCTCAGTTAGGAATATCTACCTTGATCATAGAAGAGTCTGGATATGATCATCTAATGTATGGGAGGAGAAGGCTACAGCCATCCTTTAAAAAAAAAAAAAGAATAGTTTATTGATTTTTAGAGATAAAGGAAGGGAGAAGGAGAGAGAAGCATCCATGAAAAAGCACATCGAAGGCTGCCTCCTGCACACCCCCATACCAAGGATCGGGCCTGCAAGCCGGGCATATGCCCTTGACAAGAAATTGAACCGGCAACTTCCAGGTGCACAAAGGATGCCTAACCACTGGGCATACTGGCCAGGCTACTCTTCTTTTGTTGCTGTTGTTGTTGTTGTTGAATTTATTGGAGTGACATTAGATAATAAAACTATACAGGTTTCAAGTGTACAACTCCATAAAACATCATCTACATACTGTATCGTGTGCTCAGCCATTCTCTTTTCATCATTTTATATCCTCCCTATCCTTCTAGTTTAATTGTAGGAAATAAACCTTTAAAGTGAAGCAATACAGATTCTATGTAGGTTGTTTGGTTTCACTGCTCCCTCGTTGAAACCCAGGGCCAAAACTCGACAGTGTTTACTGAGATTAGCATTGGTGATTTCCTTTGGAAATTAGTATTCGAAATAATATTAAATTCGGCTGAAAATCCCCTTTTCATGTTTGCGAAATGAACGGAGCAGCTGTTGGTGTCCTTTCATCAGCAGACTGTACCTCTGTTTAGGGGATTTTAAGGAAAGCCATTTGCAATGCAGAGCCTCTTCTTCCGGTTCTTGAATGAGCTAACATCTTCCGCCTGAACCTTTTAAAGTATCATAATAGCACGGGCCACTTCTACAAAATATAATCCAATGTATGTTGAAAACACCCCAAAGAGATTAGCATTGTTTTAATTGCATAATTCAGTATTGTATATACATTACCTTTCATCAAAGCCATTTTGCAGAACAAATATTACCTTCTCAGGGCTTTTAGAATTCCTAAGAGGTTGGTTGCATAGGCTGTAAACTAGAATCATAAAGAGAGAACTTTCTTAAGATCGCAAAACAAGTAGTGATTGAAATTGGAATAGAATCCGGCAAAGGCCAGGTTCTCCATATTTTTCCTTCTCTTCTTTTTCAGAACGGGAAAGCATGTTGGCCTTGCTCCATTGTATTTTGCACGGAAGGTTAACCCTTTGTGCAATTTAGTCTGCTTCATTTGGAAATATAAAGAGAAAGAGGTATTCATGAACAAGGCCATATAATGGAGATATAGTATAGAAGGATACATATTTATATTGCTATATTTTCATTTTAAGTGTGGTGGAGAAGCTTTCCTCTGGTGACAAGAGGACTCCCCAGTCTAAGCTAACAGCCACTAAGCTCTAGTTAGAGAGTAGTAGAACGGAAAACTTTCCATCCAGGTAAGTTGGTTTTTGAGCTTATTATCCGTTTCTCCTATGTTAATGGTTAGTAGCCATGTCCATCAAGATATAGCTTTTGGTGTATCTTTTTATGTGACCACCAGGAGAAATAGACAAAGACCTTTATAAAGATGCCCAAAGTATGACCTTACTTATTTTCTTTTCTTTCCCTCAGGGGGAGACCAAGCTGAAAATTTCCTTGGACAGGACAGCTCCGATGATAACCACAGTGGAATTCATGGCCCTTCCTTCATCTCAGATGCACCTTTTTTGCCAGATTATCAGGATGAGGGTGAGTGTCATTTCCCTGGATTTTGGCTCATCATACTTTGTTGCTTTTTATGTGTCTCTGCCCTTTGTCATTTGGCTCAAGCAGCCTTCAGTGTGGGTCCTCTGAATTGGTAATCACTCGTTTGCAAAGAACAACTATTTGTTTCATTGTGGTGCTGGGCCTCCTGGTAATTCAATACTTCTGAAGTTAATGTATTTAGGAAAACGCTAATTCCATATTGAAGCAGGAAGACATCATTATTGATCTTTTTATAAGGACTGTAGCTTCGAAAGCTAAGAGGGCATTTTCAGATGGCAGGGCCCAATTTGCCATTCTTTCAGATTTTTGAGCCTCATAGAGTTGCGTGAGAATTAGAGCTTTCGTTTAGTGGTTATTGGATTATTGATTTGTTGTTGATTATTTGAAATCTTAAGATCATCGTATTATCATAAGACATTGTTTTTACCCGTTCTCTTCACATGCCCAGCCATATTGGTGTTGTTCGAGGGGAAGCCACATGAAACATAAAGCAAATCTTCCTGGAGCATTGATTTTACTTGGAGATTTAGGAATGGGAGGATTTAAATAATTCAACTGTTACGAATATTGTTTTTATATTAAAACACATTGCTGTGTAATAGAGTCGGATGCAAAATGCAGATGAATTTTTAAGATGCATGAATATAAAAATGTTGGCTTGGTGGCTGCCAGTTTCTGGCTCAGACTCAGACATCCCAAGGGTGGGGCGCACTGTGCCTTCTCTGGCATCTGGCCACTGGAACAGAAGGTTTGATCATCTCTGATGCACACGGTTATCTTACCAACGTCTCTCTTGTGCCTTGCCAGTGGAGGGAAAAGGTAGAGATGCTGCTAAACTGAATATTAAATTGGAAGCTTACTACTCACTTAGGAGTTGGGAGTAAAGTTGGTAAATTATTTCTTATTTCTCTTTATTAGTCTGCAATCTTTCCAGTTAGTTTTCTTCCAAATCTCCCTACGACTTTGGCATTTTCCAAGAGTTCTTAATCCCTATATTCCCTTCTATTCTCAATTTATCCATGAATTCTTACTTCATTTAGCTCGTTTGGTGATTCATATTTTCTCCTTTGCATTGACTCGATCACCTCCACTATGGATACAATCACACAGAAACATTTTATTTTGTTTGAGCTTGGTAAACCGGCACAATTAGTAATATGCACGTTTTAGAAATTGGGCCCTGTAAGGTGAGATCTGAATATTGGTTCAGGTATGATTGGGAGCTTAATAATTACATTAGTAGCTGATTAATAATTGAAGAAAATTAACAGTGCAAAACATTAAAAAACACACACACAAAAAACCAAAAACACCAAAAACCTGCCATTTATTTTGGATCAATCTAATGCTTGACAGAATTAGAACAATAGTCCCTCCTTCATCCATAAGTCACTTATTTGGTATTCCCAATTTTGTCAGACACAGCTGCAAACACAGTAAGTAAGCCTCTGAGTAGAAATAGATGTTCCTGCGTCCTGTGTTAAAATTACGTGCCTTCTCTGTGAGAGAGCCCTGAGGCCTCACTGCGTTCTCAGCCCACAGTGAGTGAAGCATCAGATTAGAAGAAGGAGGTCCTGTCAGGGCATCCACCGAGGTACAATCAAATAACACCGAGGTAAGGAACAGAAAAACGAATGAACATTTATATAGAAAACAAAGTTTATCATTAAAACAAAATTTATGTGGAAACTTTAAAAAAGCTGTTTGGGGACATACTGTATTCTAAAGAGCAACAGCTCAAACTCTCCAGTAGCTCAGTACCTTAACAAAGTGAAACTTTTTAGCTAGCATTTATTGAGTCTTGAACCTATATTCTAAGCACTTTGAGCATACCATTATTTAATCCCCCCGAACAGCCCTAAGAGGTAGGTATTAGGATTTATCTTTATTTTACAGATAGGGAAGTTGGTACCGAGGGAAGTTAACTTGTTTAAGATCACACAGCTGGTACGTAGTAGTGCCAGAATTTATACTTACCAAGTCTGGTTCTAGGATCTCTGTTCTTAATCACCCTGTCATCCTTACTATTATCCTCATCGAACTTATCCAAAAAGATGGATTCATGTTCCAGACATTTTGGTTTAGACTATACACATACACATGGCATGTTTGGAAATAGTTTCATTAAAAATAGTTGAAATTTAAAAAAAAATTAGTGTTTCCAGACAACAGTGTGGTGGTTGCCAGAGGGAAGGGGTGTTGGGGTGAGGAGGGGACCTCATATATGATGATGGAAGATGGTTTGATTTTGGGTGAGGGGCATACAGTACAATATACATATATGGTTTCATAGAAATGTACACTTGAGCCGAAACCAGTTTGGCTCAGTGGTAGAGCATTGGTCTGCGGACTGAAAAGTCCAGGTTCGATTCCGGTCAGGGGCATGTACGTTGGTTGCGGGCACATCCCCGGTAGGGGGTGTGCAAGAGGCAGCTGGTCAATGTTTCTCATCGATGTTTCTATCTCTCTCCCTTCCTCTCTGTAAAAAATCAATAAAATATATTTTTAAAAAAGAAAAAAAGAAATGTACACTCGAAACCTATATGATCCTATTAATCATGTCACCCAATAAATTTAATAAAACTTTTAAAAAATCATGTTGACATTTTTCTATTATCGGGAAAGTCCCAAAATGGGGAATTCTATTCTATAGTGGCTCCCCGTAACAGAGGAGTTAACTATGTTAGTAATATTAAATTCTTAATAGATTTTTATTTTTCATTCTGTGCATAAAAGTTAAAAGAATTCCCAAAGAGCCAGAGTCAATGGTAGAGGTAAGAATAGATTTGTTAATATGTGTTAAAAGTTTACTTGTGGGATGGTGAGATAATGTTTAAATATGAGTTTCTAGTACATGCCTGAGTACTTGATAAGTAATGAACACAATACATGTTTGTTTCCTTCCCCTGGAAAAATAAAAGTGTATACATTTCCTATGAAATTTAAGAGAAGGTTAGAAAGATGTTAAAATTTTAAGTAAACGTATCCTGCTTACCTAGATTTTACCATTATAGAGAACAGTAACGCTTGACACACTACTTATTATTTTTACAAACACTTATTTAGAGATTATAAGGTAATATCAAGTCAATATGCTAGGTTGTAAGTGAAATATGCAGCTAAAAAATCAGACACAGTCCCTCTCCTCATGGCGCTTACCATCTCATTGGGAAAACACACTATTAATATGTAGACCAGCTCTAGCCAGTTTGGCTCAGTGGATAGAGCATCGGCCTGCAGACTGAAGGGTCCAAGGTTCGATTCCGATCAAAGGCATGTACCTTGGTTGTGGGCACGTCCCCAGTAGGAGGTGTGCAGGAGGCAGCTGATTGATGTTTCTCTCTCATCGATATTTCTAACTCTCTATCCCTCTCTGTAAAAAAATCAATAAAAATATTTTAAAAAAATAAATAAGTAGACCAGCAAATATAAAGTCAGTGTCTTCAGTTGCCGGTGAGATAGTTAAGGGCATCCTTTTGTAAAAAAAAGATACTTTACCTTTCTTTGTAGTGCCAACTCTTAGGCTTTTGGAATCTTATCTTTTTTAGATAATGAAAGGTCACTGTTAAAATATTTCATTTTTGTTGCCTTCCACCCCCAACTAGTGTCCTAAAGGTACAATTATAAAAGGACACATGGACTGATCCTTCCACCCATAGCTTCAGTGATGAGAAGCAATAACCATGGTGCGTGTCATGTTTGGGACACGCTTTTGTGAAAACTACAAAGAGATCTGGAAGAATATAGAAACCTAGCCAGGTGCACAGCAAAAATGAAAACCAAGGTTACAGGCTAAACCATGCATAAAAATGAGAGCATGCTGCCACCGCCTCACAATTCCTTCTTCTTTTCCTTTGTAAATGCCCTCAAACAAGCGCATAGCCCACCGTTAGAAATGAAAACTTGCTAGCAAGTAATAACATTTAGATTTCTAAACCTAGGGAGGCACACTTTCTACCATATCGAAGGAAAAACATTTAGTATGAAATGCGGAATATAATAACTTTACAAGAGTCAGCCAACTACGAAGCCCATTGCTTTCATGGTCCAAAATATATAATGGATTTTAGTGTATCTGTAAACTTACTTTATTAGTATAATGAATAACCCCTATGTACATACATTTTTAAAAAAGATGGATTGGGGAAAGAAATTATTCTATAAAAAAGGTGTAGTGACTCCTTCTGGAAGAAAAAGAACATTTTATAAGAGATGGAACTTAAAATCCTATATAATAAAAGCTTACTATGCTAAGTGTCCGACTGTTCATTGGACCATTTGACCAGTTGCTATGATGTGCACTGACCACCAGGGGATAGATGCTCTGACAGGTAGGTTAGCTTGCTGCTGGGGTCCAGCCAGTTGGGACTGGGCCACACGGACAGGCCAGATGCACCAATGGGGTCCCTCAGTCTGGCCTGTGGGGATGGTCCCTCCGCTTGACCCCTTCCAAGGGGTCCCAGATTGCGAAAAGGTGCAGGCCAAGCGGAGGGACCCCACCAGTGCACGAACCAGTGGACTGGGCCCCTAGCATATAATAGTATATTATTTATTATGTATGATTACATTCTAATTAAGGTAAAGGGAATGAATGGATAAGGGACAGATATATTTGAAAAGAAGTGGGAAAGAATGTTTTTAGAGTTTATTTTTACATCAGGAAGTTGGAGGTTTAAGGAAGGTTGTTATTCTCTAGCAAAATGAAACATAGATTTGGAAAGTAAAGACCTATAACCATCTTTGGAGAAGAGTAATAATGACTAAGTGAAGAGCCTGGGATTGGTCAATTTATTGTACACTACTAGATTTAAAAGAAATTTCAAACCTGTTATAGCACCAGTAGTGGCCATTTTCAACCCCATGCCTTTTCTGAAAGGTACATTAAAAAGCACATAGAATATTTGAAAGTAAAGACAATAGTGGTTTGTTTTCCACAGCTTTACCCCCCCCCCCTTTTTTTCCCCCCACACTTCCCTGCTTTC